GGTGTCCATTATTTTTTTTTATTGTTAATTTTTTTTGAAAATTATACAGAAAATTATTTTTAACTATACAGCGTGATTCAAAAATAAGTTACAATTCAAACTTACATTTTCTTTAATGAAATACCATATATGTTGCTTTGTATTTTTGGATGTAGCTTTTTATTACAACGTTTTTAAGTTAAACTTTTATTGCTTAGTTTTTGAAATAAGTTTTTTTTGACGAAAACAATTTTTTTTTTAAATTTAAACACAAAAACTTAGAGGGCTAGAAAATAGTGTTTTACTGCTACAAAGAATTACAGTTTTTTAGTGTTTTGCATTTGTAAAAATAAAAAATTGTTGAAGTTAAAATGAAACACCCTATTTCTTGTATTTTTGCATCTAATAGATTGTTAAGTTGTCTATATAAAAACATAAGTTTGTATTGTAACTTATTTTTAGGACACGCTGTATAGTTAAAAATCAATTTCCTATACACATTTTTTCAAATTTTAACACTTAAAGGACACATGAAGTATTTACCATCCAAGTGTGGCCCAAAATACTTGCTTTTTTATTTTTTCCTCCCAAAAAATTATCAAATCTTGACAAATTTTGTGTTTACATGCTTGTATCTTCATTTTGGATACATCTAGGAAGTTCTTTTTTTTTTCCATATTCTCTTCGATGGGTGTAGATTACAACGTATACATCATTACATATTTAATTTTGAGCAAAAAATTCTGAAAAAATTATGTTTTTTTATATTGTGTTATTTTCGTATTCAGCACATTTTAGAACTGCAATATTTTCATTTGTGCGACACATATCGAAATTTGCACCAAAAACTTTAGTACTTGAGCTGTTTCTTTTTTGTAAAATAAATAAAATCGCAACTTTAAAATTTTATTACACAAAAGTAACACAAGAAAATTTCTTTTCTGGGAATTTTTTTCTCAAAATTATATTTTGATGTAAATGTATAACCTACTCATCAAAAGAATTTAAAAAAGAACATAATTTTAATTTTTCCAAAAAAAACTTGCTAAAAACTGAAGTCAGTGTTATAAATAGCCAAAAGTATCCAAAAACTGTTAAATCATATTTTTTAAGCCTTATTATTTAAATTTATTTAATTTATTTAAGGTCGATTTCATAACAAAATTAGAATGTGAAATTTTTGCCAACAAATTTGTAGTAATCAGCATATCCTAAACAACATTTAATTTAATGCTCTTTTAAATTCGATTATGAAACTGACTCTTACATTTATTTAAATTTATATAAATTTAAATAAAATTGCTTCTATTATTATTCACTAAGTGTTATTTTGGCAAAAGCTAGTCTTTTTTTAATGCCTACACCTTTTTCAAGAGTAATTCAGAAAGCGTAAGATATAATTCAGAAAACGTTAATTGTAATTCAGATTAGTACATTGAATTTCAGAAAGTGTTAATTGTAATTCAAAACACTAAAATGTATTTTAGAAACTATCAGATGTAATTCAAATTAGTTAATTTAATTTCTGAAAGCGTAAATTAGAATTCAGATTAGTCCATTGTATTTCAGAAAGTGTTAATTATAATTTAGAGTCTGTTATTTGTAATTGATAATTTATCAATTGTAATTGAGAATTCGTTATTTTCAATTAAAAATTACATTATTAAAATCAAAAATTATCTTATTTATTTTGTAAAATACCAAGTTTATGTAATTCTTTAATTTTGAAAATAAAATAATTCGTGTTTATATGTAAACTTCGTTTTGAGACAACAGTAAGTTACTCATTTGAATTACAATTGATATTTTCTGGATTACATGTAACATGAAATTGAATTTACTGTTCTGAATTACAATTAATACTTTCTGAAATACAATTCACTAATCTGAATGTCAGTTTATGCTTTCTGAATTTAATTTCACAAAGCATAAACGAAATTAACTAATCTGAATTACATCTCATGGTTTCTGAAACTCATTGACATGAATTACAATTAACACTTTCTGAAAGACAATTGAGTAATCTAAATTACGATTTACGCTTTCTGAAACTAAATTGACTAATCGGAATTACGTGTGATGGATTCTGAATTACACTTGAAAAAGGTGTAGTAAACAATTCTTTGAAATTTGATTTGTTTATTTCTGGTGTGATCGTTATTTTGGAGTCTTCTTGTTGACAAATAAATTTCTTAGTTTATTTGTCTGTGATGTAAACACTTTATAATAACTAAAAAAATTAAAAAAGGTGTAATAAAACTTGACACCTGGTATTTTTTGTGTCGTATTTCTATCTTACGTCCCGAAGGCAAAATTACTAATTAAAATTAAAATAAAAATTAAAATCAGCGATTTAAAGTTTAGTAAACAGTTTTAATTACTGTTTACAAAATATTATTTTAATTGTTAAATAAGTTACAAGAATTATAAACCTTGTTTTTCTAGATCAAGCCTAAACGGAAATTATCTTTATTTCAAATAATTTGTTTATTATAATGACTTAATTCATTTAACTTATACAATTTTAATAAAACCCGTACAGTATTATACCGGGTGTTTCCTAATCCAACACTAACTGATCAGCAACATTTCTCGCCGACTCGCTTTCTTCAACTTTCTCAAGTTGGCCATTTTTAAACAATTGCGAACTTTTGACAGCTGCATACAACGAAAACAACAAATGTAACGCTTGGATTTTGTTTTTGACCGGAATTTGCAACATCCCGCACAGTTTCTCTATACAGGGTGCTCCAGAAGTCGCGCCCCAGAGATAAATTTCATGTAAGATACGATACCAGAAACATGGACAAAATGTTTAAAAAATTCAATCTGTTAAAAAATTTGTCATTTATTTTTTGACATTTGACATTTTTTTATGTTTATTTAATGATACTGATGATATTGTATTTATATGTTTTTTTATAATTATGTAATAAAGGCACAAAAATTTTGCCAATAAAAGCCATAAATAACATTAAACAGAGATACAATTTAGGACACAGCTTCCTTGTTTCCTCTTCTAATAGCCTGTAGCAAAAAAACTTGAAAAATTATATTTCCAACAGAAATAAATAGTTGTGAAATTTTTCGGTCATGTGACTAATCCTGATTGGTAGGATTGAGAACAATCACAATCGAGTTAACTTCGACTAAAAACAGTTGGGCTTTTTGGTTGAGTTACAGTGACTGTATTAGAAACAGTGAGGACACGGATGGCGCCTATTTTTTATATTAAATAAATAAATAAACTTAATAGTATATTACATAACGAGCACCAGGGCCGTACCCAAGGGGGAGGATTAGGGAGTTCAAACCCCCCCCCGAAATGCTGAGCACTTTGTTATATAGTGTTATAAGTGTTAAAAAAAAATTGTTTGTTATTTTATTGAGTTAATTTTAAATTTTTGTGAATTAATTTTTCATGTGTTAATTATACAGTGTTTCATTTTTATTGTTAGGTACTTACAAATTTAAATACTTCATACAATCTTTAATTTTAAGACAAAAGTGTTTCGAAAAATGCTATGAAAGAGAGCTACACCCCCTAAATGAGGTACGTTTTTTAAAGGGTTTTTCCTATTTATTTCAGAATAGATAAAATTACATAATTTGGTACCTAAACAAATGCCAAATAACAAAATAATCAGGGGCGTCCTAAACGGTAAAACAAATTTTTAATTTTTATGCTGTTTATGGTCTGTAACATAAATTTTTAAACCGATTTTTACTAAAAATCCGAAAATTGTGTCGGAAAAACGCACAATACCCTTTATATGAAAAACTATGAAATTTTGTTGCACGAAAGTGGCACGAAACCACAGGCAAAATAGTTAGAATAAATTTTTACCCTAATCCCATGTAGTTTAGGAAGCCCCTTATTAAAAATTTCAACATTTTATTTTTGTACTTGTTTAGGTTTATAAAAGTTATCAGCTGTACCAAATTTTGAATTTTTTTTCTAAAAAGATTTCTCAAATATTGAAAAAAAAAACCTATTAAAAGACGCATTGCCAGACACTTAATATCGTGGCAACCCCTTCTCAGACACCCTTAAACTTTAATAAATTGTAACTGTACTTACGTTATACTATAAAAGCTGAATCTTATACATTTTACTTGGGACAACTATTAGAAGATGTTTTCTCAGTAACCAGACAGTTTCGACAGTTCTACCCTGGGCCAGACAAACATATAGGGTAGCTATATGCCTTCCATGATGATACTTTGTCAAAACTGCATCACATTTATTTTACTTAAAATTTAGAACTTAGCACTTAGAACTGTCAAAACTGTCTGGCTAATGAGAAAACATCATCTAATAGTTACCCAAGTAACATGTATAAAATTCAGCTTTTACAATACAGTCACAATTCATTAATGTTTAAAGGGGTGTGACAAGGGGTTGCGACGAAATTAAGTGTCTGGCAATGGATGAGATGATTTCTAATATTATTCCGAAGAAAATATTAAAAAATTACGCTTTTTTAATTGATAAATTTAAGTTGATATTTTTTACTTCTTTGCTACCTTTTATCTCCCAAAGTCACGATGACCCAAACTTCATACTTGCCCATTATTCCTACCTGTGTTGGTAGTATGCGCTGACAAATTTTCAACTTTTATAAAATGACGAAGGTCTGGCGACCGCGGGCTCTTAGACTATCACAATTGATCGTAATTGATGTTATTTGTTTTGTTAGATATTATCGTAGAATTTGTATTAATTTTATTTATAATCTATGTACATTAAAATATTAACACCTGGATTTCAGTTTTATCAAATAGCCCTTTTTCGCTTTCGAGACCACTCCAGGTGAGAATTCGATTTCGGAGACAGACTTGAAGTCGGTTGAAATCCTGTAGCGGAGGATTATCGTCGAAATTACGGTTTTTATGGCCATCATGGCGTATTTGAAGCCTGAAATGAGAGGAATTGGCCGAGAGAAGGCGCTGGTTTGGGCTTACCGATGCAGTTTCTGGGGCCACCACTGAAAGGTAAGTAGGAGTAAGGGTGGCGTTTGGACACCTCTTCGGGGAGGAACCTATTAGGGTTGAATTCGAGAGGTTTGGTCCAAATTTTGGGGTGTCTATGTAGGTACAGAATGCTGATTATACATTCGCTACCTTCGGGTAGTGTGTATCTGTCTACCAACACATAAATAATTGTTGCCAACTGAGAAAACAAATTTTACCAGTTACTATATTCTGGTTGACACGTCTCCCCACCACCGGCGTCACTGGAAATAACCGTAAGGTTTCTTTGATGACCATTTCCAAATATGTCATTTCTGTCAAGTCATCAGCAGTGACGGTTCTGTCACTATTACCGAAAATATCGTAGATTTCCTCGTAAACTTTGTCCTGGATGTAATTTGTAATTTGTGAGAGTTTGACCTTATTTTTACCTGTATCAAAGGGTGCATTCCTAACATAATCAAAGTAAAGCTTTTGACGGACCCTAAAGACTCGCTTCCCGCAACTACCATAGTCTGGGCCTCTTCCAAAAGCTCTTGATCGTGCCAGTTATCATCTTCAGACATTTGGATTAAGTGGTCAATGAAACATTTCCTTGTTTTTGCCTCTAAAGTCATCATTGAACACAAAATTTGAATTACAGAAAACTGTACCTGAGAAAAATAGATCGTTTTTGTGGTCCCGATATTGGGATTTCTTCTCAGTGACAATCTATTAAATGAAGTAATAGAGTTTAAACAAAAAAAAAATGTAACACCTACATTTTGAACAAAAATTTGGAGTTGATTTGACAGTTGTTTCAACTGTTTTGAGTAGTTGCTCAGGCGCCAGACGAAATTTGGATGCAACCAATAATGGATTATCCTCACGAAAACCAGTTCTAAGACTCTGAAAAAAAAAATTAAAACCTGCTTTCACTATCTTTTGTTTTACTTTGACAAGTTTTGAGCGTAGTCTGAATGTGTCTGTTCGTAAATTTTAGTCCCCATTGCTGTCTCTACAATTAAATTTTTTCTGAGATTGTTTCATATTTTCTAAATCAAACGCGTTTTGTTACCACAAGTAATTTCCAGGGCGGTATTGGTCAAAATTGGAAAAACATCAAATGTTCCCTTCCCGACAAACTTATCCAACTTTGGCACCACCCTTAATGAATTTTGCGAAAAAACTTCAACATAACTTTTCAAAATTGGCATACTGAAAGTGCTTAAAACGACTTTCCGATGCCTTTTCCACTTTTCGACTAAATTTTTTTTATTAAATTAATTTTTCTTGACTTATTAAACTTACCTGGACCTATGAAAAGCCCCTCTTGCAGTAGACTCGACAAATATTGGTAACTTTCCGCCTTTTCCAGAGCTTTATTTAAGACAATTTCAATGTCTTCGGGTCCAGTCACGACAATGTACAACTGCCGCCCCAACCAAATTTTCCAGGGCGATTTGTATTTTTTTATCAAGTGGATAACATTGTCAATTATACTTTCGTTGCTACCCAAAAAATAGTAAGCACTTCCGATCAGGGGTAAGGCTAGGGGGCCTTCGAGTTTCGATGCGTGGAACCGCAAAAGTTTCTGTTTTTTTGAAAAATAACACGCGAAAAAATATATACCAGCTATGAACACGCCCAAAACCACTAAAATTGTTGTCGATTGCATTTTGTTCGATTAAAACGGGTTCTGTCAAAAATAAACTTTTTATACCCTTGAGGGAAGTGGTGGAGGTGGGTCAGGTTTTTGCAATGTGGTTTGACTGGTTTCGGGCTTAGGGATAAATTTTTACAAATGCAATGCTTACATTTTTTTATAAAGCAAATAGTATACAGGTGTCCATTATTTTTTTTTATTGTTAATTTTTTTTGAAAATTATACAGAAAATTATTTTTAACTATACAGCGTGATTCAAAAATAAGTTACAAT